GAATTTTTTCTTTTTTTTTTTTTCTTTTTAGAAAATGTGATTTAAAAAAAAAAACAATTTGCATTTTAATCATGAAAATGTTAAATGTCTGCATATCACAAAATATTACCGGAGCCAAAATGTTCAAATTAAACATTTTCCTATCTTTGTGTTTCTCATGTAGCCTTCGGTTAGCAAGCTTAGCCACAGCTTAGCCATCTAGCTTAGCATAGTGCTAGTTGGCTCTTTTGATTAGTTAAAATAATATCAACATAACACACTATTTTTTAACAGGCATCAATGAGATTTTTTAAAATGTGAAGAAAAGGTCAAAAATGGCTCAGAAAAGTGGGGGTAGTTCTGAGAATAGTTCTAGCATCTGCATAGATAGTGCAGTGAAATTCATACATCTGTTCTGTGTTTTGCTTCCTAGTTTTACCATAATGCCTTAGTTGATCATTTACAGATATTCCTGATTTTCTGGAAACTGGTGATAACAATTTTGTTCTGTACATTTTGGAAAAAACTCACAAAGGTTACTGTCATCTCTATTCTTATTTTTTTTCCCCAAAATTGACACAAACTGATCCACAAGTAAAGTAAGGCTGGATTTTAGTGACCCAGTTCCCGTTCATCTTGCTGTGCGTCATCTCCACTTCACACATCAACATTTCATGCTTCCATTTCTCTTTGCCATCAACCTGCACAATATCCTTTTGATCAACCTGCAGATCCTCACACCATATGATGTGTAAACCTTATATTTAAGCCACGCAACCTCTCAGGTTTTCCATGTAGATTTCCGACCCTAGAGGTAATCTGTGCTCCGTAATTAGCCCGCACGCAAGTCACAATTGGATCATGCTTCTATAAAAAAGCAGATCATCCCACCTCTCCATCCACATGTTCCCCTGCCCCCCAGTAGAAAGATCTGAGATGATTACAGGTGTCAGTCACATGAGCTGTTGTAATTAACCCTCTTTCACGCTGATCTGTTATGTCTGCCATCTGCACGCATTACTCATTACACACGTCACTGAAATAACATTGATAAAAACAGGCTACAAATAAATCCTCAAGTCCTTGGATCATTAACTGTCCTAGATACCAGAAAAAATTCACCTCTTATTTTCCTCAAATTATTCTTTTGACCTAATCAAAACCCCGTTATGCCTCTGTTTCACAACAAAGCGAATATGCACTTTTTTTGAAAACGTGAGAGGTGTCCATTCTAATGTCTGGATTCAAGTTGCAGTATAACTCTATGCATTTATTCATGTTTTAAGTCTTGAGTCTTTGAGACCTCCAAAATAAATAATGTAACATTTTGCATGGGAGACACTTAAAGTGTATTAAATTTTGGATAAGACACCAAATATCAACCTAAATGTTCTCTGAGCTATTCAATTGGCCATTGGGTCTTTCAGACCCCAACAATATTAAGGTTAATGTTGTTGCAGCTCATCACACAGCTGAATAGAATAAATGAAGAATTCAGATTCAAAAACCTCTTAAGGCCGTCTGAGATTTTCTTTTTTTTAAATTAGCATTTTTATCAGGCTTCTTTAATGTTAATGAAATTGTTATTAATTAGTTATTGAATGACTTATTTCCAAAAATGTCCAATGTTATATTCATAGGAGCCTGATAAAAAAGCTAATTTGAAAGAAAAATTTCAGATGGGCTGAGATTTTTGCATCTGAAGTCTTCAAAAACAGAATGTTGAATCAGAATTGAAAAACTTACCAGGTTATATATGACCATATAGTCATGACAAAATTTTTCGAAAAGAAATGGCTGAATCCTTCTAAATAATAATAATAATAATTTTCCTAATGCCCAGATGATGAGTCAGCGGATCAAACTGTTAGCCAGATTAAATCAGTGTAATCTATTAGATAGAGTCCTGTCTCTTACCTTTACAAAGCATAAAGATGCTCAGCAAAATCAGGAAATGCCACAGTAACATCCGCACCACAAGATGTGACAGAGGTAGACACAAGATATATCAAGAAAACTAAGAAATAACATTGGAGTATCTGTAGTAAAGGAAAGAGCCCATGGTGGAGGGGTTGTGGGCGGAGCGAAGGAGATTGAACGAGATCACACATGCTCACGCTGTGGTTAGTGGACAGTGTGATAAGTCAGCAGGCCAGCTTAGGACTTCCAGAAGAGTACAGATCATGAAAAGGAGCATTTGTTGATGACTAAACGACTTTACAGGGACAGTTCATCCAAAAAAGGAAAATTCTGTCATTTACTCACCCTCATGTTGTTCCAAACATGTATAAAAAAAATTTGGAAGGGTCCACAAGGTGGGATTCAATCTCAGGACACCCAAAGTGCAACTGCACCATATGTCGGCATGCTGCCCACATGGCCATCGGTGCCACCCTGTATAGCTTTCTTCGTTAGATTATAGAAGATATTTTTGAAAAATGTTTTTTTTGTCCAAACATTGAAAGTCAATGGTGTCCAAAGTCCTTTGAACCTTAATGATCTTCAAAATATCTTCTTTTGTGTTCTGCAGAAGAAAGTCATACAGGTTTGAAATGAATCAAGAGCAAATAAATGTGAACAAATGACAAAACTTTAATTTTTGAGTGATCAATTCCAAAACATTTTTAGACACTTCCAGTTGCTGCTTCTTTTTGTCAGGCATATTCTGCCCTCCGGTTTTGTTTTGCATTTAAAGGGCACAAGGTCACAATAGAGTGGTTCTCCTTCCAAACTCTAGTAAATGAGTCACATCAGCACAGATATTCATAGTGCATACCCTGTCAGCAAATACACACATGCCATTTTCATATTGCGCCCATATAGAGCATTACTATTGTAATAGTCTCCAGAGAGAAGCAATGACCCAGAATACTTTTACATTTCTTGCTGAGTGCCTTAAAACCTTGTTTCCTCTAAAACGAAGTTATGCGTGAAAGTAGCACTGCCCTATATCTTGTAGCCTCACCAACTTTACTGCATCTTTGCATTCCCTGCAGGTCCTGTTTATGTGAGTGTAGCAACAGCAACAGAAATGACTGCAGTACAGAGGTATGTTTCTTTTAAATTATTCATCAGTATGTATATAGATCAGCATATATACTGGAGACAGCAGAAATGAGGGCATTCTGGGTCAGAACAGAAGCTGTATGTCAGGGTTTGTGTTTCTTGTTCATGTTTTCATGTCTTTTATTTTTTTAGTTTGATTCCTGCTGTTAGTGTCATGCTTCCCTTGCCTCATGTATCTCTGCCTTGTGTATGTGTCATGCTCTCATTGGTTATTGTCTAGTCATGTGATTCCCTTGTCTGTGTCATGTTCTGATTGGTTGTCTTAGTCATGTGTCTTGTTTCCCATTGGTTTGTTCATGTCATGTGACCCTC